CCAGGGCCTGAATATCCAAAGCAAGCGGTCTCTGGCTGACCGGAACATAAGCAAGACTACCCATGCTGGCGGACTTCCTACTCAATGCATCGGCCACCACATTGGCTCTCCCCGGGTGGTACAAAATGGTAACATCATAGTCCTTCAATAGCTCCAACCACCTTCGCTGCCTCAAGTTCAACTCCTTTTGCTTGAACAAGTATTGCAGAATCTTGTGATCCGTGTACACCTCACACGTCACACCATATAGGTAATGCCTCCAAATCTTCAGAGCATGAACAATGGCTGCCAACTCGAGATCATGAACCGGATAATTCTTCTCGTGCATCTTCAACTGCCTCGAAGCATAAGCAATGACTCTGCCATCCTGCATCAATACCGCACCAAGCCCAATACGGGAAGCATCACAATACACTGTATAGGGTCCTGAGCCTGTGGGCAAAACCAATATCGGTGCCGTAGTCAGAGCTGTCTTGAGCTTCTGAAAGCTCGCCTCACACTCCTCCGGCCATTTGAACTGGGCACCCTTCTGGGTCAATCTGGTCATGGGGGCTGCAATAGATGAAAACCCCTCCACGAACCGACGATAGTAACCTGCTAACCCCAAGAAACTTCGAATCTCAGTAGCTGATGCTGGTCGAGGCCAATTCTTGACTGCCTCAATCTTCTTCGGGTCCACCTGAATACCCTTTGTTGATACAACATGACCCAGGAATGCAACCGAACTCAACCAGAACTCGCACTTCAAGAACTTAGCATATAACTGACTATCCTTCAGAGCCCGAAAAACCACTCTGAGGTGCTGCTCGTGCTCCTCCTGGCTGCGGGAGTACACCAAAATAGAATCAATAAAGACTATCACGAACATGTCCAAATATGGCCTGAACATTCGGTTCATCAACTCCATGAATGCTGCTGGGGCATTGGTCAACCCAAACGACATGACCAGGAACTCATAATGCCCGTACCGAGTGCGAAATGCTGTCTTAGGGACATCGGATGCCCTAATCCTCAGCTGATGGTAGCCAGATCTCAAGTCTATCTTTGAAAACACCTTTGCACCCCGAAGCTGGTCAAACAAATCATCAATCCTGGGCAGTGGATACTTGTTCTTTACCCCGAAGCAGTGCTCGCATTTGCGAGCTCGCAATTGCGAGTCTTCCCTTCGCATTTGCGAAAATTGCAGAAGCCAGCATACCAGATTTTTAAAACATGAGAAATGCAATCCAATGCCTATCCAAAACTCACCCGAGCCCTCGGAGCTCCAAACCAAATATCCACACGACCTCAAGAACATCTTACGGACTTCTCGCGCGATCAAATTGCCAAAATAATATCATTTACATAGAATCAAGCCTCAAGGCACATGATTTTTCATTATAACTTCATAAACTTCAAACTTTAGATATTTAGGTCCGAAACATGTCAAATGACGTCCGATTCCGACCAAACTTCACAGAAAGTGCTTAACACATATTTAAGACTTGTACCGGGCGTCGGAACTAAAATACGAGCCCGATACCATAGTCTTTTAATCAATTTTCATTTCTATTTTCCTTAATAATTTCAGAAAAATAATTTCACAAAAAAATTCATTTCTCGGGCTCTCGACCTCGAAATTCGACTCCGGGCATATGCCCGAGTCCCATATTTTTCTACGGACCTTCCGGGATCGCCAAATCATGGGCCCGGGTCCGTTTACCAAAAATGTTGACCAAAGTCAACTTTAGCAATATTAATATCAAAATTCTCCAAATTTTTCACAAAGTTCACATATTTCAACATAAAAGCTTTCCGGCATCGCGCCCGAACTGCGCACGCAAATCGAGGCAACTAAAAGCGAGGTTTTCAGGGCCTCGAAAGCACGAAAAAGAGAGAAATCCGGTGATGACCCTTTGGGTCGTCACATAAGGACACGATGTCCTAAAGTTTAACAACAGAAGGTGCAAATACAGGACACTTTGTCCTTAATATTTACACATCACTCAAGTAGTTAAGGACACCATGTCCTTATATGTAGTTAAGGACAGAATGTCCTAAAGTTTAAAAAAGAAGGTGCAAATACAGGACACTTTGTCCTTAATATTTAAATAACACTCATGAAGTTAAGGACACCATGTCTAGCATAAGGGTATTTTTGTCCGGGAGGCTAAAAATTTATTAAAGCGCTAGCTAAAGAATAAATACATTTTAAACAGTGGTTTAAGAGTAAATACAACTTTAATTAGTGGCTAACAATCTTCCCCCCTCAAAGTGGATGGTCTTGATTTTCTATTTTCGCTTGTCTCATGGGCTGAACTTCAAGTTTAACAAGCATCGCCCCTTGCTTGTCGCATGGTTAATTCTTGTAACTTTGATCTTGAAGTTCGGCTCATTGAGCAAGTGAGGGTCAAAAGTCACTCAAAAAAGTGTCATATTTCTATAAACTTTTGGCAGATATTTACAGAAATATCGTTAATCAAATAAAAAGGAGTTCTTTACATAAATAGTCGATCGGATTTCGTGTTTATTTTTTATAGCCAATATATATTAATTATATACAATTATATAAATTATATATTAATTATTTATTTATTATACATTCATTGATTATTTTAATTTAAACGGTGAGATGGATGGCTATTTGGGTTAGTATTCAATAAGAAGAGCTAAATTGATAAGAGACTTTTTCCTTCCTATACCATATATGAAACCTTATTACCAAAAATGTGCATAGTTTCATATTTACCCACCATGTTCACAGTTATTCTACAAAATATATACCATTCATTAAATACCAATTATTAGGAGGTGATTCCTTCCTAATTAGGCGCACTACAAATCTGGAACTAAATATTCTTCCAGATATATTTCCACCATTGACAGCTATTAAAAAGCTTGAAAGCTTTGAATTCAAATTTGGGTTTTCAAAAATCATTATTTGTTTGGATTGGGTGTTGTTGAAAATAATCGGGAATATGGTTTGGAGTTTATATCTCAATTTTGAGGGGTTTTGGTGAAGATTAGACTTGGTTTTGACTGAATTTCAGATTGAAACTCGAAGAAGAAGAAGAAGAAGAAGAAGAAGAAGAAGAAGAAGAAGAAGAAGAAGAAGAAGAAGAAGAAGAAGAAGAAGAAGAAGAAGAAGAAGAAGAAGAAGAAGAAGAAGAAGAAGAAGAAGAAGAAGAAGAAGAAGAAGAAGAAGAAGAAGAAGAAGAAGAAGAAGAAGAAGAAGAAGAAGAAGAAGAAGAAGAAGAAGAAGAAGAAGAAGAAGACATATTGCAGAAATTGTAGATAAATTGTAGATTATTTGTATTCTGATTGTAGATGCTTTATTTTCTGTTTTCACAAATAAAAAACGGCTAAAACTTCTACAAATCTTCTGAAAAAACGCAATTATGTCAAAAATCCCAATTATGCTACAATTGAATGGGAATTGGGATATAAAAATTCAATGTACCCAGTTTGTAGATATTTTGTAGATAAATTATAGATTATTTGTATTCTAATTGTAGATGCTTTGTTTTCTGTTTTCACAAATCAAAAACGACTAAAACTTCTACAAATCTTCTGCAAAAAACGCAATTATGTCGAAAATCCCAATTAAACTACAATCGAATGGGAATTGGGATATTAAAATTCAATATACCCAGTTTGTAGATATTTTGTAGATGAATTGTAGATTATTTGTATTCTGATTGTAGATGCATTGTTTTCTGTTTTCACAAATCCAAAACGACTAAAACTTCTACAAAATCTTCTGCAAAAAATGCAATTATGTCGAAAATACCAATTAAGCTAATCAACTCCTTTACTTGTATCAATACACTCTCGGTTACTTTTGTTCTCCCATTGATTCCGTTAATGTTTGTGACAAGCCATTCTATTCATCAATTACTACACACTAAACTACTCCTTTTAACATATTCCGTTCAACATTTCCTCTTTTCAACTATCAATCTGACCAAATTTGTGAAGTCAAACTATTCATAGATTGATTTTGACTTTTAAAAGTTGAGATGGTTATTAAAGCTGCAAACTGTTCACATGCAGTATCAGAAATTTCAATTACCTTAATATAATATTTCTAAATTCACTTTAATACTACAACACGAGCTGGTCCATAACCGCTAGATCACATTCATTTGTAATTTTAGGACAGTAGCAAATTATGAAATTTACCTACTATATAAATGGGAATGTTTTGTTTACTCTCATACGTTGTGAAATGCAAATCATAGGTTTTTACATCAATATGCTGCAAATCTATGTTTCCATAATCATAGGTTTTTATGTTTAATAACAGTACATAAACGTGGGTGAGGGTGAGGGTTTGGGAGGGAGAAACGTGGGAGGGGTGGGATATACGATACCTTAAATTAAGGAGGGATATACGCCGCATTAATTGTACCCTTAAAATACACTATGATATAGAATTGGTAATTTGGTATACTAAATGTAATTATATCAAACCTTAAACATTGAGGGTAATAAGGTTTCCTATATGGTATAGGAATGTAAAAATTTCAATTGGATAATATAACTATTAAAATTTTAAAAATTGGGTCCACATTACCGACCAATTGAAAGTTTCTTTGACTAAGCAAGTCTGACCAGCTCGGTCGACTTGTTGACCACATTACCGACCAACTTTGGTCGGTATTTTTTTTAAAATAAATGTAAAATATTTTTCTCCCAGTTTCCGACCAACTTTGGTCGCTTTTTTTGATCGACCAACATTGGTCGGAAAATTTTGATCGATATTTACTGGATTTCTAGCCGTGGCAGTTCCTTTGTCTAGATGTTTTATACTTTAGTGACAATTATACTCATTAAGTTAATATAATAATGTCAGAGTTTTATTTCTGCTTGCTTGGAAATTATTGTGGAATGAGAATATTATTCTGGAATCTTATCATATCATCGTTATATTTTCTAAAATCATTATAAAACTATAAGCCTATGGTTTTAGAAGTTAAGCATAGCAGTGTCGCTTTACAATATTGTGAGGCCCATCAAAGTAAAGAGCCAAATCCACACGAACACGATATACAAAAATTACAGATGAAATGGCACGTTCCACTTACTAATAATAACATCAATAGATAGAAAATGAGCCTTTTTCCACAACTTGTTTAAGGAAGTCGAGAAAATAGGTTGGGGAGAAAAGGTGGCTCCAGCTACTTACCATAAGAGATTATTAAGTTGAGATGAAGCTTGTGAATCATCTTCATCAAGTGATGGAGAGTGAACATGCCTACCTTCATATGTCGTAATCACCATTCTTGGATCTTCTGCTAATCTTTCCACCCTTTTCTTAACTCTACAATTATCTTGTGTACACCGGTAATAGCTCCTGCAACACATAATTAATCATATAATAATTACGCTTTTATCTACGGTAGATCGTTCCAATTCATGAGATGCACGCACTTAATGACATATATACAAAGCAGAAATGTCATAAAGTTTTTCATTTTGTTCAGTATAGGACGATATCATCCAGAATATGTATGTTTCTGTCTTGTTCGACTGCTGCTGGTTTGTTAAAAGCAGAATTGGTTTTCTCACCATATTTCTGAATTTTCATTTTAAATATCAATCAAGTAAAACAAGGCCTAATCGAGAATTTTTCTAGCTTTAATTTTGAAAAGACAAAAAGCCCCCTCCAACCAAATATTCACCTTAACATATATGATTTATTTTCAAACAGTCTAAACAACATATATAGTCTCAGGCATTTTTCTGTAATTCTACAGAGATCAACCCCGGGATTTGGAGAAAAGTCAAGTGAGATTCAAAATATAATTAAGCAATATAATAAGATATAACTTAAACGTTAGAACACTTTGATATTGCAATATAGAGCTGTTGGTAGGGCAATGTTATTCCTTTACCTAGTACAACAAAAAGGTAAAAAGATGAGGAAATTGAAATCAAAATAGTGCACAAACAAGAGATGAACAAATTGCAAACTGGCAATTGCTGGATTCATTATCACTAGTGACAATACCCTACTGGGCTCCCTTGTGCATCTTACATTGTCACTTATGTAAAAAGTTGTTGCACTTTTAGTAATTTCAAATAAATTTAATAATTTTACATACCAAACTATCATATATATAGGAAACAAAAGGAAAATCAGACTAAGACGGAATCATAATCCTAATCAAAATTCTTTTTTCACAGACTCTTCAAGGTGCGGATCCTTCAAAAATGCATTACTATTGAAGAATCCAACATACACCTAATAATATTTTCGTAAAGTTCAGGCAACGTAACTATATTGCGGGTGAAAGTAGATAGTAATATAGCAAACCAAACTCCTGAATAAAAAAGAAAGCTCAAGTATAGTAATCATTCAACAACAAAAAAGTTTCAACTTACTATTAACCTAAAGCCAAATCATGCAAAGAAGAGATCCTCAATGGGATCCTCCCCATATCAAACTTCTAGATGTAAAAAAAGTGATCATTATTTCCATTTTTTTTTTTTATTCCTTAGGGTTTTCATTTTGCTAAAAATGCATGTTTTGTTTTGTTTTGTTTCACCACATGGTTCTTTCATCTAGTAGAAGTATTAACAATGCCAGTCTTGATGAGTTGTACCAAATATTAACTAAAAGAATATCCATAATCATATGATGAGATTTTAAATGAATCTTTTTTTAACTTGCAACAAGTTTTGCAATCATTTTTCAAATAATCCTAATTAAAAGATTGTAAAGATTCAGCTCTGCCAATACGATCTGATTTAAGTTCCGAAACATGGCCCAAAAAGCTATCATTTCATGAGTACCAAGTTAATTTTAATTATTCAAATGATTTTCTATCTTTTGAGGTTAATAAGGTCAACTCCAACCCTTACCTCCATTTTCTCCTTCAAAATACAGGATAGTTTAAAATGCAGTAAAGTTACTCCAATCATTACTCCAGTTTTTACTCCAAAAAGAATAATCCATTTTATATTCTTTTCTCTCTTTAATATTATATTATTATTTTTTTATTTAAATTTTATTTTCTTTTTTCTATTAACTCAATCTCTCTCTCTCTCTTTTTTTCTTTTTTACATATTCATCACATAAATTTAATATAAAATTATTTTACACCATAAATTTTTAAATAATATAATTTATAAGCAAATATTATAGATTATATATATTAACAGATAATTCGAATAAAAGTGAAATCATTGAGATACAAGATATCAATACATATTACATTATGGTAAAATTCATATTAAATATTACATAAATATTCAACTTTCACCTCTAGTATGCTCCCATAAATGATTTATTAATGCATTACGAAGCGCAAAATGAGCATCTTTGTCCTTAAATTTTTGTGTCGATTCTTCTCTCTACAATATCATATTATTATCTTTTATTTAAATTTTATTTTCTTATTTTTATTAATTCAATCTATCTTTTTTTTTTTTTTTTACATATTCATCACATATAATTTAATATAAAATTATTTTATACCATAAATTTTTAAATAATATAATTTGAAGCAAATATTATAGATTATATATTAACGGATAATTCAAATAAAAATAAAATCATTGAGATACAAGATAATTCAATACATATTACATTATGGTAAAATTCATATTAAATATTACATAAATATTCAATTTCCACCTCTAGTATGCTCCCATAAATGATCTATTAATGATTACGAAGTGCAAAATGAGCATCTTCGTCCTTAATTTTTTCTGTCGAGCTAAAAATTGCTCAAATCGATGATTTTCATCTACTACCATTTCTGCCGTTGGAGGTGGACATTCCCAATCATCTTGAATTTGTGCATTAAGATCACGTTCATCCTCTATTATCATGTTGTGCAGTATAATACATGTCGTTTTGAGATGATTATATATTTTTTATACGATTATAACTTATAATAAAATTAACTTACAATTTTACATAAAAATAATAAATGCATAAAAATTAATTTACCAAAATTATACGCCAAAGTTAAGATGTAAAATTGATATTATAAAAATATTATATAAACATAATTTGGTATATATAAAGAGATAAATTAACAGAGTTAAATAATAATAAAAATGAATAGTAATGAAGTAGAAGAATAATGTAACTCCATATTTGGAGTAACACTATTCATCTCCTATTTTGGAAGCAAAAATGGGGAGCCTTGGTGCTTCATTATGAAAAAAAAATGCCCCCATTATAGAAAAATGGGGAGGGTGGGAGATGGCCTAATAACAGTACTTCTTTTAGCTCTCTCTCATGACATTAATTACCTACATAATATCCTTAGCTAAACCCAATCTAATCCTCTGAAGCTTTAATGGTATCAGCAGCCAATGCATTGTTCAGGGTAGAGGTATTAAAGAGAAAGAAGATTTCAGAGTTCAAACTATTAGTCGGCCTAATGACCGACTACTAGTGGATTAAAGTGGCTAAATAATTAATTTTTGGATATAAAAATACAAACAAAAAAAATTATAGGCACGATTATATATCGATAAAAACGGAGGAAGAGTGGGCTTACAACAACGGTAAAGTTGACTTAGGTCATCAGTTCAAGTCGTAAAAGTAGCCACTAATACTAGCATCAGGGTAAATACCGCTTGGGTGCGGCCTTTCCAGATCGTTGGTGAACGCAGAATGACTTGCACACCGGACTACTTTTTATTATTATTTTTTTTAATCTTTTAAGAGGGAGCTAGAGAACTCCACATAAGAAGTAGCCAATGTTTGGATCGGAAGCTAGCAAATAAAGAATAAAGAAGAGATTTAGCAAATAATAGGTACCTGGGATGTTGGGTATTTTTGACAACTTTCTGGCCATATTTTCTCCATTTATAACCATCATCCAACACATCCACATCACTCAAAGTCTTGAAACAAAATCTTGGTTCTCTTACTTTCCTTGTTGATGATTTCATCTTCTTCATCTTAATTGCTGAAACCCCTAAATGATCATCAATATTATCCCTTGATCTCTTAATATTGTTGCTCTCATTCACTTCTCCCCATGCCCTAAACTCAATTCCAAAACCATATAAGTAACTATGACTTCTAGACATGCAAATTAACAAAAACGAATCCTTATCATCATCATACTATCCAAATAAATAAAAGGAAAATATATATTAAAGATTACCATGTATTTGCAGAGGATTTTTGCAAAGAAAGAAGATGGGGTCCTCCAAAAATAGAAGTAGTAAGGTCCTCTTTCTGCCTTAGAGAAGTAGATTCAATTAGGGAATTATTATGTGCTGCAAAAGAGGGAGGGATTATGGTGAGGGTTTTATGGTTGCATATTCCAAATGGTAGAGAAGTAGTAATTGCACTGCCCATATTGTTGTTGTTTGGAGGAAAAGTGAAAAACCCAAGTTGTGATGACATATCAGCTTCATCCTCAAACAAACTCTGGCTAAACATCTCTCTGATCTCTTTATTTGAGTGTGTGTGAGGAAGCTCAGCTGTACGAGAAAGCAGGCAATTTGGTTTCTTATAAAAGGAAAAGACTTTGAAACTGTGACACACTAATTAAGAAAAGAGAAGATGATCTTTATATGTACTGTTTAGGTTAAAAGGAACAAAATAATGTGTCAGGTAGATACGTAAAATAATTTTGGTTACCCTTGTTAGGTTATTCGATTACTAATATTTACATGTCAACTTTCTCACATTTTTAATCTTAAAAATAAATAAGGTTATTTGTTAGAACAGACAAAGATGATCTGATACTGTCAAATTTCTTACACTAATAACTTATATAACTTACACTTAATTATATAATATCCCTTTTGCCCTAGATAATATTGCAATATTAACTTTTTAATATACTTGTGAATTTTTAATATGGTTTCATTCATAAATCTTTAATTCTTTATCTAAATGAAATTCATATCAAAACACTTTTTCTAAATGTCAAATATTTTCTTCCACTTCACAATAGCTCGCACCTTTTCTTTTTCATCTCCTCGTTATAAGCTGGTCTACCATAAAAAGTAAGAAGGTTTAAGTAAAGGATCAGTAAGAAAGCTAAAATTATAAGTTGTAAAAGAAAGGGAAAAAAAGGACAAAAAAAAAAAAAAAAAAAAAAAAAAAAAAAACTAAGTGATGTGCTACCACTTAGAGTGGGTTTTCTAAACAAAGTCAATTAGATTTAAATTGTACTGCATGTTGCAACTTTAACCTAAAAGCAAAGGTAAATCCATATTGTACCCAAAGGTCAACCAAATCAAAACAGTATGGAGGGTGAGAACATGGGAGCTTTTACATGTTTTAATGCTCTGTGTTGTTTCTTTCTTTGCCTTTTTTGTCCAAAAAGTAGAGTGACTTTTTACATTTGTTGCATTGAAGTATTATGCCACTCATTCGTTTTTTTTTTTTTTAAATATTACCATGAAATCTTTAATGGATCCAATGATAAAAGGGCAAGGAGATGAGTACAAAATAATGGAACAGAAACTTGATACTAAGTGGAGGAAAAAAAAGGCGTTAATTCATGATAGGCCTATGGTCTCAAAAGGGAAAGATAAAAAAAGGAAAAAAAGGTTCAAATATTATGCTGTATTTGTCCTAAAAAACTATCCCATGTTAAGGCTACGTTTTGGATGAAAACTATTTTCCTACGAAATTTTTTGAAAAATAAGTTATATTCTTACTTAATTTTTTGTGTTTGAAAACTAAAAATAATATTTTTCTGAAAAATATATAATCTAGTCAAAATTATAGGATACATAATGAGTGAGGATGGAGAAAAAGCAGGGCAACAGGCGAAGTGAGCATTAGGGGTAGGGCTTAGGTTGGGAGTTCGGTACGGCTTAGGATTTGAGGGGTCAGGGTTTGGTTGGAGGTCAGGATCAGGGTCAAGGTCAGAGTCGGGCTCCGGGTCGAGTTTAGGGTTGGTTTCGGGTTTAGGGTTAAAGTTCGGGGCCGGGGTTACACTCCGGGATCGGGATTCGGGTTTGGTACGAGGACGAGGTCGGGGTTAGGGTTTAGGGTCGGTAGGGGCATGCTCAGGGTCGATATTAGGGTCTAGATCAAGCTTGATGTCAAGGTCACAATCGAGGTCACGATTTAGGTTGGGGTCCAAAACGCTTCCGAGGTCGGCGTCAGGGGCCTAAGGTTAGGTTCGGGGGTCAGGGCCAAGTCCTAGGTCGAGAGTCAGGGGTAGGTTTAAGGTCGGGAGTTAGGGATCGGCTCAGAAACTAAGGTTGGGGTTCGTGGTATAGGTTTGGGTTTGAGGTCGAGAGTTGAGGTCTGAATTGAGGTTGGGAGTCGTTGAGTTTTAATTCAGGATTTGGGTCAGGGATCGTTAGTGAGATTAGGTCTTAGGTCGGGAGTAGGGTTCGAGTACGATTTCGCGGTTGGGATTGGGGTCCGAAGTCAAAATCGAGGTTACGGTCAGGTCTATATTTGGAAGTCGGGTCAAGGTACAGGTTCAGGGTTGGCATTGCGTTGACATCGGCGATTGAGGTCGGGGGTCTATGTCCGATTTCAAAGGTCCAGGGCTCGAGGCAGTTGCTGGGCGGAGGGTGAGCTTAGGTGTCGAGGTTGGAAGGTAGTGTCAGAGGCGAGAGATACCGAGAACGGGGGACGTTGGTGTGTGCCTAAGGGTCGGTGATAGGGTTCAATGCACGCAGGGGTGAGCGAGGTGGTGTTTTGGTCCAAGATGTTCCAAGGGCGGCGGTGCAGGTTGGGTGGATTAAGAGGTAGACAGGGTGAGTTGGGGAGCGAGTAGGTTGGGGAGTTTTGGAGTGGTGGGGTGGATTTGGGTGTGGATTGTGGATGGTTCAAAGAGAGTTTTTCAAAAATTTTCTCTTCTCCTTGTAGGGAAGTCATTTTCTGAAATTGGAGGAAAATGTATTCACAAGTAAAATATATTTTTTTTAAAAATATTTAAGCCAATCAACATAAAAAAAAATTAAAAAAATTCTTGAAAATATTTTCCTCCATACAAAACACACCCTAAATTTTCACATCTAACAGTTTTGAATTTCTCCGCATGAGGATGTGTTTGTATCATAATTTAAACAAGAGTTTAAAATTTGGATTGATAATGTACAATAATTTTTATATTATCAAGTGACCTAAAAGATAAAAGTTCGTGATATTGTGAAATTAGTAATTTGAAGATTAATGCGTGAATAATAGATAATTTATATAAACTCGGGTGATGGAGCAGAGGAAAGGGAAAATGGGGAACGGATACTATGCTACTGATGGGATTTGAACCCTCTACCTCCAATGTGGAAGGCAGGGAGTTCGCCCCCTCAACTCTAACTTTAAATGATAGCTTAAATTTTTTTACACTAAGTGAATTTTAACCTATATATGAAAAAAACATTAGTTATAATTTTTACAAGATTATTTAATTCTTAGCAAGAGATTTACCTGTAATTACATAATAAGTAACATGATTGTGTAAATATTTTTTTCATCACCAATGCATAGAAGTATATAACTTAGTAGGCGTTTGGACATAAGAATTGTAAACTTCGGAAAAATTGTGAAAATTTTTTTGAAGTGAAAATTAGAGTTGTGTTTGGACATAAATTTCAGTTTGGGTTGTTTTTGAAGTTTTGTGAGCGATTTGAGCGAAAACTTTGAAAAATAGCTTTTTACAGTTTTTCAAATTTTCGAAAATTTTCAAAATGTATCTTCAAGTGAAAATTGAAAAATTTATGAACAAACGCTGTTTTCGAAAAAAAGTGAAATTTTTTTGGAAAAATCTTCCATCAAATTTTATGTCCAAACAGGTACTTAAACTCATAAGTTATCCTTAAACAAATGAACTTTGCACTTAGAGATGTGGCCTAACGGTTACTAAAGTGGGTGCTAACCATGAAAGACGAGCTGGGTCCAAATTCCAGTAAAGACAAGTAATGCATAGGTATTCTTTCCATCGTCTTGATAGATCGAGCTACACGTGTTTTGGTGAGAAATATTAGGTATCTCGTGAAATAATAAATTTACGCAAACTTGCCCGCCACTTTTAGTTTAAAAAAGCAAACGAAGCAACTTGTGAAAACTGAAAATTGACATACTAATGTATGGAATACGTAGATATAGGGTTTCTTTTTGTATCAGTATGTAGGGTTTCTTTATGCCATCAAAAAAAGCACAAAAAATCAAGAGCAATGATAATGAATCTTGGTTGCAAATCTATTCCTCTGTATCTCAGCTGAAGATATCATTATGATAGATTGAAAGGCAAGGGCCTATTTGACTTTTTGGCTGCTATGTAAAAGCTTCTTGCCTTTTTCCTCTCTACTTTTGATATATTATTATTCCAACACCAACCACCCACAATTACTTAATTTCTCTTTCTTTCTTTTAGTTCCAAACAACCCTATAATATTGTTATCATCTCTTCAATTGCACACATTAATCTATGTTAACTTTGGTTTGCAAAAATGCCATCATATATTCATTGATGAAACTATTAACTTTCATTGAACAATAATGCTTTTTAGATAGTTTCAATAGCCTAATTAATTAGTTTAACATTGATGGGTCAATCAAGTTCATCTGATTGGCTCGCAAATATTCACTTTTTATTACTTTTTATATTACTGTTATCATTGCAGCACTTGTGCTTATGAATTCCGTACTAGAAAGAAATAATGATCATTTTATAGGTTTATATAAATGAATAAGGTAAGTTATATAACAGAAACTTAGGTTTATATTCTAAATTCTAGATTAAAAATAGGGAAAATTTCACATTAGAACAACTGCGCTCCATACTTTTCAATTTTATAGCCCATATTTCAATTTACAACCAACTAGCCCATAAATAATAGGCTAAGATTCAACATCCAACTCCAATAGGTTCTCAAAATTATTATTTAATTTTTAAAAAAGATTCCTTAAGCTTTTAAATTACTTTTCGAATCAGTAATTGTGACTCAAATATTAATTTAACAAACCAACTTCATTTGGGTGGTGAAAATTAGATTTTTTACAAGCTTAAATATGTGGGTTTAAATTTCGAATTTGATTTTATGAGAAATTTGGAGTGGGTGTTATTTAGACTTCTTAGAAATAGTATAAGGAGGTTGTATATTAAATTTGAAGTCATTTAATGGAGATTTGGACTGGTTTTGAATAAGAATTGCAACTGAAAATCGTGGAAGAAGTTCGTCTACAGACGCTTGTATAAAGGTGTATAAAAGTGTATAACAGTGTATAAGGTGTGTTTCTACACTCATATACAATATTATACAAGATTATACATAATTATACAAAAAACTGACTTCGTCTTCTTTCTTACGTCTTTTCTGAAATTTAATTCAAATCTTGCTCAAATCTACTCCAAATCACTTCAAATTTAAATTTTGTACTCCTTTTGATATTTTCAATCAATTGGAACAATACACAATCCAAACAACTAACAAATTCAAAACAATTCATTTTCAAAAGCAAAGCTTTGAATGATCTTCAATGGTGGATTTCTACTCTTCAATTTTCTTTCATTGCAAGCAGGTGACACAGGAGGAGAAGCAGAAAATACACGGTCCTTTG